AGTCATCGCACTTGGCATTTCTCTCCCATTTCGAATCAGAGGTGCTCCATATCTCGATGGACTTTGTCCGTGTTCGTGATGGTCCAACTTTTATTATTTGTAGCACTGGATCTAATGGTTCATATGAATCATATCCCACAGACTATTGGGGCCAACCGTTTCGTCTCTCGCACACCCAGAATAAGTTGGTAGCCATTCGATGTGACATATTTGCTTATGTCACTGATATACCAGTAAGGCATACATAACTGGTTGCGCAGCGGTCTGCTTTAATAAACACATGGTCATCGATGATTCTTCTTGCTTTGGCTATGGTTGCTGCCAGACTAGTCTTCCAAAAGAACTCCGTTCTTTTGTCACGGGCGCCATTTTCTTCAATACAGTGGGACGTTTCTCAGACTCTTGACATGTACCACTTCTTTCATTGTTGAAAACAACTTCACAGAATTCAACAGATACAGCAATATCTCCGAGCACATTACCATTACTGGTGAACCTCTGGTACTTGACTGGGCAATGGGGAATATCTATTGTCACGAAGCTCGCGGAAGAAAAGACTATGCATGTAGCCTTAACACTTACTGCAATGAATCCACTTTATTAATGAAGGTGTGGAATATCGATGTAGTTGCTCTCCAGGTTATCAAGGGAATCCTTACCTCCCCAATGGATGTCAAGGTAACCGTAGTACAACTTTCTTTATTCTTCGTTCCAAAATTGATCCATCCAGTGGGAGATAATTAACGTCATCACCTGATGTTATTCCAACACTTTCGGACCCTACAATCATTTTACTATTTTAAAAAAATAATAAAAAGAGCCCTATTTACTTACCAATTACAAGATATGATTTGGTAGTATATCTGCAAGTACTGTGTGAGAGAGAGATTTCCTAATGATATTTCTCATTCACTTATAAAAAAATTCGAGTAAGACTACCAAGAGAGCCTTCTCATGAAAAAAATAATAATAAAAATTTCATGAACTATCCTGTTAACTGCTAACTATTGGATTAAGAGATTTATTAGAACTCAAAAATTGTAAGTGATGAGATGATTCTAATGTTACAGGATCCAACCACTTTACATGATCTACTTCCTACTTTTAGTCTACAATTGAAAGTTAAAGGAAAAAAAATGCTTTACATTACAGATTAGTTGGGCCTTTTTTTTTAAGGTGATTTATGTAACAAACAAAATATATATAATCTTTGAAAACCCTGTTATATCATTTATGATCTATATAGATTCGAATTTAAGAACTTAAACGTACTTAATGTACAATTGTTTTGTTTGGTTTCTTTTCGACTCGAAAGATATTGATGAGTGCGAAGATGGAAAAAAGAATTTTTGCCCAATTGGTGCTCTTTGCAAAAACACAGAAGGTAACTACTCGTGTGTTTGCCCACCTGGTTCCCACAGCATTCATGGAAATGGAACTGGATGCATACCTTACCATGCGAGACGATCATTACAACTAATTATTTCTTTAGGTACAATCTTTTCCTATTCTCTTTTACCCTCCTTTCCATGAAATTAATTGTGCTTACCTTTTCTGCACTTGCAGACATTGGAATTTCTATTGGTATTCTACTCTTGATTGGTATTGGTTTATGGTTGCATCGTAAACTTGAGAAGAGACGGAAAAAAAAAAATCAAACAGAAGTTCTTTGAGAGGAACGGAGGTTTCCTTTTACAACAACAGATCTCTTCTTCAAGTACAAAAAGTGTGGTGAAAACAAAACTCTTCATAACAGAAGAGTTAGAGAAGGCCACAAACAATTTTAACGAGAGTCGAGTCCTTGGTTAGGGAGGACTTGGTACAGTTTACAAAGGGATGTTATCATATGGAAGCATAGTCGCAGTTAAGAAATCTAACATAGTTGATGAAAATCAAGTTGGACAATTCATTAATGAAGTTCTCATCCTCTCTCATATAAATCACAGAAACATTGTGAAATTGTTAGGTTGCTGCTTAGAGATTGAACTTCCAATACTAGTGTATGAATATGTTTCGAATGGCACCCTCTCCGACCATCTTCACGATGAGGGTTATGTTTCAATGAGTTGGAATAATCGTTTGAGAGTTGCAGGGGAAATTGCAGGAGCACTTGCCTATTTGCACTCATGTGCTTCTACATCTATCATTCATAGGGATATAAAGTCCAGCATCATATTATTGGACGACAATTACAGAGCTGTAGTGTCCGATTTTGGAATTTCAAGGTCAGTTCCTCTAAACAAGACTCATTGGACGACATTGGTCGGTGGCACATTTGGTTACTTTGATCCTGAATACTTCCGATCAGGGAAACTTACCGATAAAAAAGAAAAAAAGCTACCTTGTCTGATAGTTCTTATGAAGGTCTTGCACTTCATTTTCGATCATCATTCAAACAGAATATTCTGTTTGAAGTTCTAGACACACAAGTTGTCAATGAAGGCCAAGATGAGGAGATTCATGTTGTTGCTACCCTTGCAAAGAGATGCCTAAAATTGAATTCGAAGAAAAGGCCAAGTATGAAAGAAGTGGCAGCAGAATTGGACCGGATGAGAAGGATACAAGAGTAGTCATTGATTCAACAAATTAGCCTGGACAGCTGCTACTTGGTGAGTGAGTGTTCCTAGTTGAAGAAGAAAGATAATAACATGAAATGTTTTTTATAGTCAAATTCCAGTTACTACTTGAAACAACAAAGTTTCCATCTATTTTCTTTTTCTTTTCCAACCAATAATAGACGTTTTAAGAGGATTGCCAGATCAATTTTTTTTTTTTTTTTTTGGGTTTGAATATATAACTGCAATGGTTGGTTATCACCTTTGTTCATTGTATAATTATAAAGGCTTTAGGCTTGTATAGCTTTAGGCTCCGTTTATTTAGATGTAAAATATTTTTTAAAAAATATTTTTTATTTTTTTGGTATTTGGTTGTCGTAAAAAAATATAATAATAATTAAAATCTAACAATAATAATTTACTCATCAATTTTCAGCAAATTATTTACGAATCATAAATGACCGTAAAACCTACCAATAATAACTTGTTTCTTCTACTTTTAGTCAAAAAAGGACACGAATCAGATCTGTCATGTATTACACTTTCAACACTTTTGGTTACAACCCATCAGGTGAATGATATATTAGGAGGAGCTTTCTACTACTCGAACTCAGAATAGTCTATATATATATATATATATATATATATATATATATATATATATTATGAGTATATATAATGATAATACTGTTCAGTACTAGACTACTAGTTAATTCATGTGTATATAACAAAAATGGTAAAATCATATATAGAAAATAGAGTAAGGGCGGTTAAATTATAAACCAACCATATTCAAGATTTTAAATAATAAGGGCGATTAAATCATAAATCAGAGAATATAATAAACAATAAAGGTGGTAGAACGGTAGACCCTACCCTTATAATTATAAATATGTACATATTTCACTTAAATATTGAATGATATTAATATAAGAAGTGCTTATCTTTAGAGTGAGAAATAAATTTGTTTCAGCAAAATAAACAAACTCAACAATCTATCAAAACTAATATTAAGATATATTAGTTGAGATAAAGAGAATGAGTGATTTATCAAAATCAATATCACAAGTAAGATATATTAGTTGAGATAAAGAGAAGGAGTGAGAGCTTCTCTTTCAAATCTCAATTGATTAAAAAGAGACTCGTACGTTCGTATAAATATATAAAATATTACAAAAGGGACCAGTGAGCAAGAGGAAAGAGCTGATAGAGGTATGGAGAATGAATTCATATTCTGTATACAACAATATTATACACGGTCATCTATTTGTAGATGCAATATGCCGTGTTGCTTCCACCTTCTCTCCATCGCATTCATACAATGAGTCTCTTTAAACAAATATTCTATCAGCACTAATTATAAGTGAAAGCATTTTTTTTTTTTTTTTTTTTTGTTTCCTGGCAAAAACACACCAAAAAGCCATACGACATCTACAGAGTGAGAGACCAGCAAGAAGCAACAGCCATATACAGAAAAGGATAAATACATTAATTAAACTTACTAACACCCTTATAGTCAAAATCACTGGCTTGACAAGGCAGAAAAAGGTGTCAATTTTAGCGAAAGATCCAACCCTACAGAAAGGCAACATGACCAAGCGACCTTTATACCGACCACAAAAACTAGCTAACAACAAACTAACTGATACGGGCAAAAGAAAACAACCCTGGATAACAACGACAGCCGTAAGTGAATGCTTTTAAATAAGTTAGTGAAAGTAATAATACATTGTGGTGGACCCCACATTTAAAATTTATAACAGATAATGGATTTTTGTATAACTTGTCCCATAGACTTTTGGGTCTTTATCAGTGATAATAATGAAGACAATCGCACACCCAACCAAAGTCGTTTTCGTAGTATTATGTAATGGTATTGAATGAGTCTCATCTTGAGCTCAGCTCGAGTTAAAATATTATACCCCATCATCCATGATTATAACAATATGATTGGGATTATTTAATCGATTCTTGTTTGCTAAAACATATTCTTTTTTAAATGATCCAAATTTAAAATTGAATAAGTAGATGGTGGTGAGAGCGTTCACTTGCTAGCTCATTAATTTGTTCTCTTCAAGCAAAACATCGACCATAGAGTATGTAATATTTCTAATTTTTATCATTTTTTTTTTTTTTTTCGGAATTTTTGTTGTTTCAAAGGTATTTTCGTCTTTTATCGTTTTGCGTATCGGGCATTGCGGAGTGTGCGGTTGTGTTCGAGAGTTGTTTGGAGCATTTCATTGAGTCCAGGACTCTTTAACATGCAAGGGTAACCATTTTGGCATTTTTCTATTTTTCGGGCCGGACGGTTTCATGTGGGACTCGCTACCGGGACTGTTGCATACGGGAATTTTAATTGGGTCCATTTGCATCATAATCATTTTATTTAATGTATTCTATATGGTTGTAATTTAATAGGTGTATGTATATATATATGTGTGGGGTGTAAAATGAAAGCAAAAGAAAAAGAGAAAAGAAAAGAAAAATGGTGGGACCCACCTTACCATTCTTTTTAATTGTCTTTAAACTATTTTGGCAGAATGAAGCTCTCATTCTTTTTCTCTCTCGTCAAATACTCTCCATCTGTTTTTGTTTTTCTTTTTTTTTTTTTCTTTTCTTGAGCTTCAAATATTCTCCTTCATTTTCCGGCCAAACGGTCGGGTTTCCGGTCATGGCTCCTTGATAGAAAATGTTCATCTCGTCGTTCTCTATCATATAGTCAAAGGATTTAATTTTCTGAGGAGTGGTGATTATTTTACGAATTTTTGAAATTTTCCGATCTAAGGCTTCGGATGGGGTTTTGGGCCACTTGGAGTCGGATTCCAGAGATGACCCTTTGGAACAGTAGAATCACCTCGTCGATGGCTACGTTCCCACAGAACAGTTTTCCGTTCCGCCTTTGACCGGCGTTGACTTTTGTTGACCGGCGTTGACTTTTGTTGACCAGCGTTGAATTTTCCGGCCGGGGATATATTTTGGCTACTTTTGAGGTAGGGGTGTTCTAATTCACAATTTCTTAGGTTTTATGTGAATTTTCCTTCTTAAATTGAGTATAAGCATGTTTAATTTCAATTATTTTGACTATGTGATTGTGGTAGATTATATGTAAATTGGTGGATGTATGTTATGTGATAAATGAGTTTGTAAATTTAGTTACATCCTTGAAGTGAAGAAGCATGCTTAGAAATGACAAAGGATTTACTTTATGTATTTCAATTGCCATGGAAATTTGATGTCATGATCGTAGAAATAAATGTTTAGAATATTCTTTTACAAGCTATGATTATGATATGGGTAAAATCTATGGAATATAGTTGTTGAATTTGGCATTTGGAATCATGAAACATTTATGCATCCATTGGGAAAGAAAAAGGGGAAAAGTATATTTTTTTAATTCCAATGAAATTGTTTTGGGGAAAAGTTTTTGAAAAGTATTTGTGAAAATTCGGACGCCTAGGAGGCGCCTAGTGGTCCGTGGTGTTAGTGTGGTCTATAGAGAGGACTAGGGAGAGACCCTAGTGTGATTGAGCGGACCAGACCGGATACGACGCCTTGAAGGTGCCTTGTGGTCATGGATGGTTAGCCAATCCCCCTTTCGTGATGCCTTGGAGGTGCCTTTGGTCAGATTACACTAACGGTTTGAAAGTTGAAACGGTATGGTTTCGGAAACGGGGAGTGACATTGCATGGCATGGCACATCATTAGCATACGTGGTGCATTTGATAATGCGTTGAGATATGTATGTTTGTTGATGATACAGTGGTTTTACTTGATTCCCGAGATATGATCCCGTTCTCTTGCTTTCTATTCTCTATGTAGATTCACGGGGTCATAAGAAGCGTGTCTTAGACACTTCCTACTGAGCGTTTAGTTCACCCCATCATTTTAACATTTTTCAGGACACGAATGACAAGTGATGGACGACGCTCCTCCACAGGGTTCGATGGGTTAGTAAACCGTTTTGACATACTTCGTAGCTATAATTTCATTTTATTATTATTATTACTTATTTTTTTAAAACCCGGAATGACACGTATAATATGTATTGATGTAGGAAAGAATGGTGTTGTCCCTAGTTAATCTCGGGTTCGATTAAGGACCCAAAGAATGGTGTTGTCCCTAGTTAATCTCGGGTTCGGTTAAGGACCCGACTAACGGTTCGGACCTACGGATTCGGGTTGTCACAGAGTAGTAGCTAGGCATGGGTGGGAGCAAAAAAATGCGACTGCAAATGTCCATCATTTACTCTCTACTATTCTTCCTATTAATTAAGGAAGCAGCCTCTAATTCTTATTCTATGGTGAAGCCCGATTGCCAAGAGAAATGCGGGAATATGAGCGTTCCATATCCATTTGGCATAGGGAAAGGATGTTACCGGAACAAGATGTTTGAAGTCAATTGCAATGACTCATCGCACCTAGCGATTCTCCCCCACTTCGGAGAATCAGAGGTGTTGCAGATCTCCATGGATTATGTCCGTGTTCGTGGTCATTCCAATCTTGTTAGTTGTTCGTCTGGACTTAGTGGTTCATCATATTCGGAATTTGGTTGGGACCAACTGTTCCTGTTCGGTCTCTCGCAGAGCCAGAATAAGTTGGTAGCCATGGGATGTAACATATTTGCTTATCTCACTGATATAAACGATTATACCACCTACATAACTGGATGCGCATCCGTTTGCTATAACACGGGTAGGACCATCGATTCTTCTTGCTTCGGCTATGGTTGCTGCCAGACTAGTCTTCCAAATGAACTCGTCTCTTTCAAGGTTGGCGCCACTTACATCAATACAGAGGCACCGTCACGGAACTCCAGCCCCTGCAGCACATCTTTCATTGTCGAAAACAACTTCTCAGAATTCAACAAATACCTCAACATCTTCGATAACGGTACTGAGCTGGATGTGTTGCCTGGTGTGCCCCTGGTGTTTGACTGGGCAATTGGGAATGTCTCTTGTCACGAAGCTCGCGCAAGAAAAGACTATGCATGTGGCCCCAACAGTAACTGCATTGAATCCAATATCATTAATGATGGCGCGAAGTATCGATGTCGTTGCTCTCATGGTTACCAAGGGAACCCTTACCTCCCCGATGGATGTCAAGGTAACACTACTACTACTTTCTTTATTAGTTTTAACAGAGAACTATAATTTAGTTGACAATTAAACCTTTGATTACTTTAAAATTTCTGTTGGAGGTACAGAGTATTTAGAATGCAATACTCTGTTTGAGAGTTATTCTTACAATATTGTGGAAGAGGGTTATATTTTCGATGAAAGAGCATACAAGTCTCATTTCTTATCACTAAAACTCTTTTAAGTTTCATAGGATTAAATAACTTATGTGCAATCACCAATAAATAGGAATCAATATCTGGTTAGTAATGGTTGTCGCTTTGTTTTTGATGATAATATTCTTCTTATATGTATGTAGTTGTATAAATCTGTTGCTATTTTATTTCATCAATGGTTTTGATCTTGTGGGCAAGAATTTCATATTCAATGCTTCATTCAACTTTATCTTTTAATAGGAAAAAGTGTTATTTCTATTAAATCGTTAGGTTAAGTTTTTGTAAACTGAAGTGACTTTGACTTTGACTTTGACTGCTATGTTTTTTTTTTTCGGTTAAAGACTTTGACTGTTATGTTGCATCTTGGTGCATAATTGCATCCGAAGGTCTATTTTATATGGTTGATTACTTTGACTTTGACTGTTCTGTTAGGTTAGTCACGTGGCTCATTACTTTGGTTCATTACTTTGACTGTTAGCATTTTAATTTTACATTAAATAAATATAAAAAATTTCATGTTAATGGTGATCTCGTATATGAGAATATTCTGAGTCTTAAAGTCCTTGTCCCAATTCCATTCTTTAATTTGATGAATTGTATCTTTTTTTCTCTTTTTCATTCATGTTGTATCATTTGAATATGTACAAACTATATATATATGTCTTGATTCTAGACATAATCCCTAGAATAAAGCTTACAATCTTCTATGATCAAATGTACTTCTAGACATAGAATCAAGAATACAATATCCTATGGTCAAATGTACAGGTAATGACACCCTAATTCAACATAACTTGATAATGTTTTTAGTTTAGAGGTTTCTATAATTTTACTGAAAATTTTATAATTTAAAAAGTAGAAGGGTATTTTGTTATTTTAACTCTAAAATTTAATTAGATTTTTTTTTTTTTTTTCGGACGGTGGTATCAGAACCATTAGATTACACTAATAAAAGGTGTGCTTTTTTTATAAAAAAAAAAAAAAATGCTTTCCAATACAGATTAGTGGAGCCTTATTTCATAGTGATTTATCTAACAAACAAAATAGACATAATCTTTGAGAACCCTTTGTTATATCATTTATGATCCATAAATATTCGGATTTGAAGAACTTATACAAACTCAATGTGCAATTGTTCTGTTTCTTTTGGACTCAAAAGATACTGACGAGTGCAAAGATCAGAAAAAGGATATTTGCCCAATTGGTGCCCTATGCAAAAACACAGAAGGTAGTTACTCGTGCGTTTGCCCACCTGGTTCCCACAGCATTAATGGAAATGGAACTGGATGCATACCTAACCAAGGGAGACGATCATTACAACTCGTTATGTCTTTAGGTACAATCTTCTGAAATTCCCTTTTAACCCTCCTCCCCATGAAATTATGCTTACCTTTTCTGCACTTGCAGGCATTGGAATTGCCATTGGCATTCTACTCTTGATTGCTATTGGTTTATGGTTGTACCGTAAATTTGAGAAGAGACGGAAAAACAAAATCAAACAGAAGTTCTTTAAGAGGAACGGAGGTTTGCTATTACAACAACAAATCTCTTCAAGTACAGAAAGTGTGGTGAAAACAAAACTCTTCATAGCAGAAGAGTTAGAGAAGGCCACAGATAAATTTAACGAAAGTCGAATCCTTGGTAAGGGTGGACTTGGTACAGTTTACAAAGGGATGATATCAGATGGAAGCATAGTGGCTGTTAAGAAATCTAACATAGTTGATGAAAATCAAGTCGGCCAATTCATTAACGAAGTTCTTATCCTTTCACATATAAATCATAGAAACATTGTCAAATTGTTAGGTTGCTGCTTGGAAACTGAAGTTCCAATACTAGTGTATGAATATGTCTCGAATGGCACCCTGTCCGACCATCTTCATGATGAGGGCTATGTTCCGATGGCTTGGATTAATCGTTTGAGTGTTGCAGGAGAAATTGCTGGAGCACTTGCCTATTTGCACTCGTGTGCTTCTACAGCTATCATTCATAGGGATATAAAGTCTAGCAACATACTATTGGACAATAATTACAGGGCCGTGGTGTCCGACTTTGGAATTTCAAGGTCGGTACCCCTTAATAAAACTCATTGGACGACATTGGTCGGGGGCACATTTGGTTACTTTGATCCCGAGTACTTTCGATCAGGGCAACTTACTGATAGAAGTGATGTTTATGCCTTCGGTGTAGTTCTTGCCGAACTTCTAACAGGAAAAAAAGCTATCTCCGCTGATGGATCTTATGAAGAAGGTCTTGCACTTCATTTTCGATCATCACTGAAACAAAATAGTCTGTTTGAAGTTCTAGACACACAAGTTGTCAATGAAAGCCAAGACGAGGAAATTCATGTCGTTGCTACCCTTGCCAAGAGATGCCTAAAAATGAATGCGAAGAAAAGGCCAAGTATGAAAGAAGTGGCAGCAGAATTGGACCAATTGAGAAGGATACAAGAGCTGCCATTGATTCGTCAGAACAGCCTGGACAACAACGACTTGGTGAGTGAAAGGTCCTCCTCTTACACAATTGATGCAGTTGAAGAAGAAAGTTAATGATATGAAATGTTTCTTATGGTCAAATTCCAAGGTACTAGATGTAATGAAGTTTCTATTTTCTTTTCTGAACAATAATAGGGGTTTAAGGAGGATTGTCAGATCAGTTTTTTTCGGTTTTGAATAACTGCAATGATTGATTGACTATCACCTTTGTTCAGTGTGTAATTTTGAAAGCTTGTACGGATATCGTATTAAAACTATTTAAGATATCGAGCAGCTAAATTTGTGTTTTACTAGTGATATCTGATAGCCCAGGTAAATAATATCATGAAATCAATCTTTTTATTTCTTTATGTTCTTTGTTTAGGTTGCTTTCACTCCTGGACCACTAGGTCCACTAGAGATTAGAGTAAATGGTTTACTGTTTTACTCTTAAATGCGTCAATATATTCAACATTACTTGTGGCAATTCCAAACTAATTTCAACCCATGAGTCTAGGACTGGTCAAAGTATATCAGTTTGTATAAATCAATACAAAACTATGAACAGATTCCTAGTGTAGTGAAGTAATCAATTTATCTTTAAAGAAAAACCTGAATGAACTGAATTTCCTAACATTCCTTCTAAGGCAATGTAAGTCCTCAAGAAGTAGAATTAAGGAAAATTTAAGTATTTCACTAGCTTGCAAATCATGTTACCTTGCTGTATTAGTCACGAACAATATTGGAAGTGTCTTCCTGGAAAATGCTGATTCTCGGGAAGCTTTTCAATAGCATGCTTCCATAAGATATCTGAACATCTTAAAAGCTAAGATTCCAAATTAATTAGAAGATCAATGACAAGAAATGTATCAAAAACATAATTAGTATGACAAATTTCACTAAAAATAACAATTGAATCAATTATTATCATGTACAAAGAAACTGTTAACAGTTACCTGGTTGCCTTAGGCTTGTTGGGCTGGGTTGTGCCCTTGTTAAACAAATATCTTATTTCTCCACTCTTATTTTTTAGAGAGATGACAAGATTAATCAAAGCGTTCACTGTGGTGTGTTTTATAAGCGAATTCTGTATCCAAGAGATTCCACACAACTCAACCCAACAAAGGCTTTTTTTCAACTTTTTGGGGTTGGCTACATGAATCCTGTCTTGCCACTCCACTCCATCTGAAGCCTGAACTTTAGTCAAACCAATATCGAAGAGATACATCAACTAAAAATAAAAAAATTTATAAAAAAAACTAATTCGAAGAGCAAATTATCACATTAGAAAATAAAAAATGTAACAGCCCCACTTACCTTGGTTAAATTGCTAACAAAACTTTCTCAGCCTAGTTCTTGCTTTCAAAATCGTAAATGATCAATTGTCGCTCAGAATCATACCCCAATGGTCTGTGGGTGCATTGGAAGGTACACTTGTGGAACATATCCCTCTTTTTTCAGCTCAAGAAGAAGATTTTTCAATAATAGATAGATCTGAGAAGACTGTGGGTGACTTGTGTCTGCAGCAACAAACGTATGGGTACACTTGTCCACCTCAATCCAGCTGTAACCAGGTATCTTTTGTACTCCTCTTTCTTTCATCATGCTTCGTACTTTAAGAACACTCTCCCATTTACCGACATCAGCATGAACATTTGATAGCAATATATAGTAGCCAGAATTCTGTGGGTCCAAGTCAAAAAGATGCCTCGATGCCAGTTCCGCAAGCTTAACATTGCCATGGACCCGAGAAGCTCCAAGTAGTGTCCCCCACACACCTGCATCCGGATCAAATGGCATGCTCTTTATGATTTCAGATGCTTCATTTAAACGACCTGCTCGCCCAAACAAATCAACCATACATGCATAATGTTCCATCCGAGCTGCAATACCATATTCTTTGGTCATGCGACGGAAGTAGTGATTTCCTTCATCGACTTGACCTGCATGGCCACAAGTAGATATTATCGCAAGAAAAGTGACATGTTCCGGCTGAAACCCTTCCTCCATCATTTTATGGAATAAGGTCAGAGACTCCTTCAAGCAGCCGTGATTCCCGTAAGCAGAAATGATGCTATTCCATGAAACCTCAGTCTTTTCTTGCATCATGTCAAACACATGACATGCTAAGTCCAAGTTTCCACATTTAGCGTACATGTCTATTAGTGCACTCTGGGCAAAGAGATCAGAGCTTGTCACACCTCTCATCATAAAACCATGGATCTCTTTCCCATAATTGAGTGCTGGTAAATTTGCACAAGCAGAAAGAGCAGCTGATACGCTGACACAATCATACTTGGCTCCTTCTATACCCATTTGGCGGAAAATATCAATGGCCTCTTCTGGTTTTCCATTCTGAGAATAGCTTGTGATCATTGAGTTCCAACAAACAGAGTCTCTATCTGGCATCATTCTGAAAATTTGATAAGCAATATCCAATCTTCCACATTTTGCATACATATCTGTCATTGCACTTGCCACATAACACCTTCCTACAAGCCCATTCTTGAGATGTAAGCATGCAATTCCTTACCCAAATTCAGAGCGGCCAAAATAGCAAAAGCCGGTAAAGTACTTGCCAGTGTTACTGCATTGGGCGTCATTTGCTCCTGAAGCAACCACCGGAAAATTCCTAAAGCGTCAATATTCATCCCATTGAGGACATACCCTGAAATCATTGCAGTGCAAATGACAACATCTGTTGCAGTACTCTGGTTAAAAACGTTGCGAGCCATCTCTACATTCCTGCACTTGAAGTATATATCAATAAGTGCACTCTTCAAAAACACATCCAAAGTAATGCCATGTCTTACAATATAACCGTGAACCTCCTTTCCTTTATTTAAACTTGCGGATTCAGCAATTGATGGAAGAAAACTTGCAAAGGTGATAGAGTCGGGTTTGATACCAGCAGAGATCATCTCACAAAACAAATCTGAAGCCTGACACATAAGCCCATTTTGGACATACCCGCCAATCATCCCATTCCAAGGCACTAAATCGACCTTTGGCATTGTCTCAAACAACTTACGAGCATCAGACAAGCGACGGCATTTAGAATACAGTGCAACCAATGTGTTAGCCACTGGAGAATCCATCTCCAATCCACATCTAGTAACAAGCCCATGAAGCTGAGTACCGAAATTAATCAATGCTTCCGAGGCACACACAGACAATATACATGCATATGTTACCGAATTGGGCCTAATTTCAGTGTCTCTCATCTCCCTAAACAACCCAATAACATTATCTGAGTCCCTTTTTTCACATAACCACTAAGCATCACATTCCACAGAACACTATCTCTCTGAGTCAACTTGTCAAACAAGTGGCGTGCGTCATCAATACAACCAATGTCAGCATAAAATTTAATCAGAGCACTACCCACAAACACATCCATCTCAAAACCCATTAACCGAATTGTTCTGTGAATCGATTTTCCCAAATGCACAGCATTCAGAGCACCACAGACCATAATTACATATGGAAAAGTAAATTTATCAGGACAAGTGCCAAAACCCAACATCTTAAAGTAAAACAACAATGCGAAATCAAAGTGACCCATCAGAGTAAAGGCTCTAATCATCCAATTCCAAGGCGAAGCATACCACAATTCAACCTGATGAAACATTTTCCTGGCGTCCAAGAAACTGCAGGAAAGAACATACATACCCAAAATCTTTGTGCCCAGAGAACTTGTGAAGCCAATTCCATTGACAATGATATGGGAGTGAAGTTGTTGGCCTTGTTGAAGCACAGAATGGCCTGGACAGGCTTGCAAGACCGATGCAAGTTTACTTGCTAAAGCCTCCTCGGTGTTAGGGAAAAATCCAAATGGTTTTGTAATATTTGCATGAACGGAGTTAGGGACCAATGCAGCAATGTATGAACAACTTCTATAGATTGAGTATAGATTTTTGTGATTCATTTTGATTAAAAAAATGCATCTTTGAACATTGAAAGACTGGTTTTTTTTGGGTTGGGATATTAGACTTTCTACCTGTCTGAAGCAATCATAAATATACTTGTGGAGGAAGCGAGGAACGTGGCAGCTAGCTATATTCTACAATAGTCATCAAAGTGTGTTTTTTTTCCTCCTATTGTCATTTATATATTTTAAGGTTTGGTCCATGTCACTTTGAGCCAACAATTTTTTTTAACAATCACATGCTGATTATTTAATTAAATTAATTTGCAAAATATCAACCTTATTAATCAAATAAATTACTCTCATTATTAGGCATCTTTCTTTACTATAATCTCTTTAACTTTTATTTTTTATTTTAGTACTTAGCCACTGACATTCCATCTCTTTCTTCTTATCTCTTTCATTCTCCTTTTTCTTACTATGTTATTTTATTTTATTTTTGGGTAAATTGAAAATCACACACAAAACATAATTAAATAATATTAAGTTAATTGAGTCGAGTTACACATAGAAACTTGGGTTTAGCTGGTTGGATTCTAAAAAGTATAGGCATTTCTGTGAAGGTGTCCGACACTCAGTGACCGATGAGATTTGTATGAGCAGTGGCAGCTTTGAGCAACAATAATGTATGGTGGGCATAGACGGAGGCACATTGAAGTCAGTGGGGGCTTATGGTGGGATATCATTAGAAATTGAGTGAAGACATATTTAAAAATTTTACAAAACAGTAAGGATATTTTTAAGATTTTTACAAAATTTATAGGTAATTTTGTAAATAAAAAATATTCAATGGGGGCAGCTACCCCACTGGGCCCTTCATGGGTTCGTTCCTACAGACACTCTTAAATATGTGTCAATACTTCATGACCCTATTTAATTTTAAAATATTTTTTTTTGTTATTTTGAAATCTTGGCTGACACATATTGAATACTTGATTGACATATATCAAATACTTGGTCAACGCATTCTGGATACTTAACCAGTACATCATACACTCTTCATTTTATATGAAATGAACAGTTGACAACAAAAAACATTAAGAACATATATCAAATGTCCAACTTGTTTTTTTATTTTTTTATTTTTAAGTTAGCAATATGTAACAAAAAAATAATAATTATTATAATGACAATATAAGAGAGCAATATCATATATAATATAATATATATTTTTACATATAAATAAGTTCATCTTCTAACTCGATCAAGTAATTTTAATATATAGATTATAAATTAATTATGTTCTATACCAATAAAAAATTAATTAATTTTTTTAATTTCTTTACTTAATAAATATTTAAATAAATAATTATATTTATATTAGTTGGTGGATGAGATATTGATTTTCATGTTTGATTTTTAACAAGATAGAAAAGAAAAAAATTGGAGAGATTTGGATTAAATATTCTTTTATAATAATATAAAAAATAATCTTAACATTTTAAAATAGAAATTTTAAAGACATTTAAGTCCCACATTAATATTAGGGCATAATAATAAATTGATTAATATAGTTTTTTTTTTTTCTCATTTATCTTTTTTTTTTTTTTTTTTTTTTTTTTTGGTCATTGGCAATAAACTCACACACACCCATTTTGCTCCCTCATTTGAAGACTCGTACCCTTCCCACCTATTCTGAGAAGTAAATGACATTTCTTTTATTTCATAATTTATGCCACCATGAACAGAGATTATTCATATTTTTAATTCATAATTTATGCAAACATGAACAGAGAGAAGTTAGTCTTATTTTTCATTTCTTTTATTTCATAATTTATGCAAATATGAACAGAGGTTATTTTTAATTTTTATTTCATTTCATTTCTTTTTTCTTTTGTCTCTTTCTCTTATTTTTTATATTATTTATCTTAACAAATTCTAGATGACAATCGAATAGGTGATTTTTTGTTGGATTTATCATCAATCTATATAAAAATGGACCACGTAAACATCCTTCCATCACTTTATGTATATGGCTCAACTACTGATTGGATAGTGATGCGATGTTTTCCTTATCTTTATCCTGAAGTTGATTTTGTTTAGCGAAAAAGAAAAAAAGAAAAAATTATAACATTAGAATTAGAGAAGTGGAGAAGAGAAGGTAAGATAGTGTTAAGTTTGTTCGGTTTATTAACAATGATAAGGAAAAACTCCTTTTATGAATTTATAATTACACAACTTTTTATAGATTTTATCTTTTATAAAAATAAGAATAAATTTAATATTAATATAATTTCATTAAAAAAATTAACATTTTGTTTTTCTTTTCTTCCGTTTTTTTAGAGACTAACAAAAATTATTATTCATACTTTGTTAGATCCTTCCATCCAAACATTTCCCATAACAAACACTATTTCTCATCTCCCACTATCATCATTCTTTTCCTTTTGTTCCATTTCCATTCTACCAAAGTGGTTAGGAAACAAACTAGGTTGTTCGATCGCTACCACACTTGGGATATGTACATCAGTTGTTTCTTCTGTCCCCACTTGTTTTCTTTAATAAAGGAGATTCCAGCTATATTATTGGAAAAGTCCATAACAATACGACTTCAACGTAGACTTCAAAAAGTTGTAGTGGCCTGTGAGACATCATCAAGAGATAAAGATCATCTCTACAATTGTATTGTTTTAACTCATATTTTCTCCATGTTTCTTCATAAATGGCATGCCTTAACCCCGTACACGGACCACGGTACAAGAAGATTCAAAGTGCTTTTACTAGTAATTATGTTAAGACGGCAGCATAAAATTAAAGTCTCAAAATTAAAATAAGAATTTATGAATTTTTTTTTAAAAAAAAAAATTTAGTTAGTTTTTTTGAATTATTTTTTTCAGTTCCATCAATTTTAATTTCAAAACTTTAATTTCATGCCATTGCATTGCATTGTCGGAACTGTTTGGAAACGTGCAAGTTTTTAAAACTTTTTGAGGGATTTGCAATCATAAATCTTGATTCATTACATGGAGACAAGTTTTATGCAAAGATAAATAAAAGATGCTGCATAATTCAATAAACAGATTGAATACTTACATCAAAGGTCTGAGTAAACCTTTTGAACTTTCCTCTAAAGTGAATGTTCTCACTTATTGTAGATCCCTTTAGCAAGATCATTTCTCCTTCCGTTCGATTATTATCTTCTCTTTAGGAATCACCAATATGCCTTGATGAATGACCTTGGAATATAGGTTGGTGGTAGCCTCCTTTAGAAGAGAAAACAAAACCTAGAGAAAGTGTATTCCTTTTTCTTGTTCTCCAAGTCCTCCCTAAAATATACATGAACTCATGTATATATAGGCAAAATAAAAATAAGAATAAGGAAACAATAAATCATTCTCTATCTCTAATTCAACTTTCTCAATCCTAACATGACTACAATATCAACTTGGGCTATTGGTGAGAATCCTTTTGGGCTTACTATTTTCTTGGCTCTTATAAATTAATAATTGGTCCGGTCCATTAAACCATGGACCCAATTCAATTAATTCATAAATTAATTTCTACTCCACTAAAAGAAATTAATTGCACTCCAATTAAATAGTAAATAACTTCTGAGTCAATGTTGCACTTTGACCCCTCTATGCTTAATTATTTATCGGATAATTAAAGCCATCAATCCGACAACATAATTAATATAATTATTTTGTTACCTTTGATTATTTCCGGCTCGATCACAATAAAATATTTATTTGACAAAAAATAATAATAATTTATTAAATAAATATATATATAAAACATTTGTCTAAAACATACGAAAGCCTTCGAATTTAATTTGTGATCAACCATAATCAAAACAAAATAAATACAAATAGCGCTGATGCAAATATTGAGAATATAGACCTCTAATTATTAATTACATAACTACTCAAAGTGTCGATCTAAGGATCCCGAGGTATCCGCCGAACAAATCAAAGTAATTATTGATTAATAAAAGAGTCTATACTTCTCTCATGCTTGAGAGTCAAAAGCCATGACTGTAATAGAGAGTAATTGCATACGACAGCTCTCGCAATATATCTCAATCTATCGTGGACTCGGTTTAAGTCTTAACTAATTAAATGTCCATCCATAATTACTGACTTTAAACCATTTATGATTACTAATTTATATCATAGTATTAATTGCCATTACATACATATATAAATATATTTTGTAATCAAGCGGACACCATCAATTCCATAAAGAATCGAAAAATAATACATTCCATTCACCAATTGTATAATGCTTTAATAATAATATCCAGACAAGAAACCATGACTTTTACAATCCAAAATTAGAATTTACTATACTAGGACACACATATCCTAACAGGAACATGAGTGCATTTGAAGCCTTAACTTAAGAAAAATTGTTTATGCTATTAAATTCATTATTTAACATGTAAAATTTTAATGTAATATTGTGCAACGTTAGATATCGAAAAGGTCATCTATAATAAACTGAAAAAAATATTTATCAAAAAAACAGAACAATGGAAAAGATATACAGAACTACTTACTTTTTCATGAGTGGGAATGTTAATTGTTCGATTGCAGTGGGTGGACTTGGACCGGCAATTAAATTCACGTGTTTTTGATTGTGGTGGTAATACATCACTAATTTCATGTCTTCACATTGCTCTGCACAAGATAATACTATTACGAGTATATTTTATGCTCCACCAACTCTCCTTTAACATACGTAGTGTATAAAAACATTTGTTAAGGGGTTAATAATAATGTTTAACGAAACCAAAAGAAAGTGAACAATGAAAGCAACAAAATGGATGGGTTTGATTGGTTAATGCTCTCCAATTTTCAAAGTGGGCTCCCCATATGGGAAATGTTAGTTTGTTTGATTGGGGTGTCCTTTCTTTCCTTTTTATTAAATCAATCAATCGGGCAAAAAAGCAGTCTAAAGTATGTTTCCACCTTCCTCTTTTAATAAAGAAGCATGGTCCCACCGAGGTTAATTATGATCCATGACAACAAAAATATATAATGAGTAATCAATTAAGACTAAAGGTAAGAATTTCCTGTGATAAATATATATATCTACCTTAATTGCTTTAGAGCATGATAAAGAGTCAGAATTTATAGTTATTGTTTTTGCTTTCAAAATATATTTATACAATTAGGGTTAACAATCTCTCCTTCCACGTTGTGAAATATCATATAACCAAATCATATATATGTTGTTAAGAATGAGTTCAGAAATTATTAATAGAATAAGTTAATATTAAACATAAATTTAACTGATTTGAACTTACTTGGATAAATTAATATTTAGATGGACTAATATTAATAATAAAAAGTTGAATCATTCCATTACTGTTTTAATTCATTGGATTATATCATGTTGATTCTAATTTGGGATGCCAAACCCATGTAGTTTTTGTGGAGTGAAGAATTTACACACATTGAATGATTGATCTCGATATGTCATATTGTCATGCAGTGCAATTAAAATGACAAGGATCCCTTCTATTTCAACTCTTCCATTTTCATACAAATGTTGAGCCCCCACCAAATTCATTAAGTTATTTTGTCATTTCAATCAAAATATTACGTAGCTTCATCTTGCGTACCAAAATGACCCAATTTATTACGTATCATCATCAGCTTTAATAAAAGGGGATTAGCTAATTAATTTATATATCATGACAACGCGCACTTGCTTTCAATCACCTTGAGCTGTTACACATACACTTAATTAATCTCCTTTGGAATATTGACTTTTCTCACAGATCAGTTCTGAAAACTAAATCCCAAGTACAAGTGTCAATATATATACAAGTAGAGCAAGAGATTACTCCATAGCTCATTCATTTGTTCTCCACTAGTTATATTATAGTGAAATTAAGATCTCTGCATATATATATATATATATAAAAAAAATTAGGAATTTAGGAGGATCGAGCTAGCAAAAGATCAATGGCAGTACTGCAAATATTGATGTTGCTATTACTAGTAAAGGAAACAAGATCATCATCGGCCTCTAATTATTCTATGGCGAAGCCCAACTGCCAAGAGAAATGCGGGAATTTGAAGATTCCATATCCATTTGGTATAGGGAAAGGATGCTACCTGAACCACATGTTTGAAGTCACATGCAATCACTCGTCTCATTCTGCAACTGTCTCCTATTTGGGAAATGAAGCGCAAGTGTTCAACATCTCTATGGACTATTTACTTGTTGATGGTCCAGCTTCTGCGCGTTGTCGCGGCAAGAGGTATGCTTCATCCCCTTTAAGTTACAAGTGTGGCCAACCCTTCAGTGTCTCCGGCACCCAAAATAAGTTGGTAGCTGTAGGATGTAACATATTCGCCTATATCACTGAATTCAACACTACCAACTACGTGAGTGGTTGTGCATCACTTTGCAATGACACAACTACCGGGTTCGACGTTGGTCCTTTTGCTACTAGCAAAAATAATCTGTCTTCTTGCTCCGGCATTGATTGCTGCCAGATTAACATTCCTGAATATCTCTCCTCCTTTGATTTGCTCGTTGGAACCATACAAACCGAATATGGAGGGAGGGGATATAGAGGGTGCCGGGAGCCGGCCCCATGTAGTATTGCTTTCATTGCAGAAAAGAACTTTTCAGAATTCAACAAATTCAACCCCTCTGGTAACGATACCTTGCCTCCTGTCCCACTGGTGCTTGACTGGGCAATCCAGAACATCTCTTGCCATGAAGCTCGAAGAAGAAAAGACTATGCTTGTAGCCCCAACAGTAACTGCACTGACTTCGTTATTAATGATGCTGTGGGATATCGATGTAGCTGCTCTCCAGGTTACCAAGGGAACCCTTACCTCAATAATGGATGCCAAGGTAACATATATTTACTCCTTTCTTTCTTTATCTTAACAATCTGGAGGATCTCCTGCTTGTTGGTCATAATTAATGAGTTCCATTTTAATTTTATTTACCATGAAAAAGAAAACAAAAAGGAATTTAATTGTATGGAAATTTTATAATTAATGTACAATTTATTTATTATTATTACTTTTTTTTATGCTTTTGTTTTTTGTTTGTTTTTTTCTTTTCGACTCAAAAGATATTAATGAGTGTGAAGACCCAAAAAACAATCCTTGTCCAAAGGGGGCTCTTTGCAACAACACAGAGGGTAACTACTCCTGCACTTGCCCACCTGGTTACCACAGCATTGATGGAAATGGAATTGGATGCATACCTGAACAAGCTGGGAGACAAATATTAGCAGTGATTGTTCCTTTAGGTACTATCCTCTGCATTCCGTTTTAATTACCTTCCTCTCCATGAAATTGTGCTTACCTTTTCTTCGCATACAGGAGTTGGAATTGCTGTTATGGTCTTGGTTGTTATTGTTTTATGGTTGTACCGCAAATTTAAGAAAAATAAAATCAAACGGCAGTTCTTTAGGAGGAATGGAGGTTTGCTATTGCAACAACAAATATCTGCAATTAAAGAACGTGCGGCAAAGATAAAACTCTTCCTAGCAGACGAGTTGGAGAAGGCAACAGACAATTTTGACCAAAGTCGAGTCCTAGGCAAGGGAGGACATGGTACAGTTTACAAAGGGATGTTATCAGATGGAAGCATAGTGGCTATTAAGAAGTCAAATATTATTGATGAAAAACAAGTCGGCCAGTTTATTAATGAAGTTATTATTCTTTCTTACATAAACCACAGGAACATTGTCAAATTGCTAGGTTGTTGCCTAGAGAGAGAAGTTCCACTGCTAGTATATGAATACGTCTCAAATGGCACCTTGTCCCACCATCTCCATGAGGAGGATCATGCCATGACGATGTCCTGGAATACTAGATTGAGAATTGCGAGGGAAGTTGCAGGGGCACTTGCTTATTTGCATTCATATGCTTCTACATCTATCATTCATAGGGATATCAAGTCTAGCAACATATTACTGGATGAAAATTACAGGGCTATAGTGTCTGATTTTGGACTTTCACGGTCATTATCTCTTACCAAGACTCATTTGACAACATTGGTGGGGGGCACATTTGGTTACTTGGATCCTGAGTATTTTCGATCAGGCCAACTCACTGACAAAAGTGACGTCTATGCTTTTGGTGTAGTTGTTGCTGAACTCCTGACCGGAAAAAAAGCTGTCTCTTCTGATATATCCAACGCAGGTCTTGTATTTCACTTTCGATCATCAATGGAGGAAAATCGTTTGTTTGAAATTCTAGAGGCACAAATTGTGAATGATGGTCAGCAAGAGGAGATTGTTGCTGTTGCGAAGCTTGCAAAGAGATGCATAGAAACAAATGGAAGCAGAAGGCCAAGCATGAAAGAAGTAGAAGCAGAATTGGATCAACTGAGAAGGATACAAGAGCAGCTATTACTTAAGCATGATAGCCAGAACAGCTACTGCTCAGTAAGTGAAAGGTCCTACTCTTGCTCAACTGATGCAGTTGAAGAAGAAAGTCGGGAAGAGGAGTTCGTTACTGCTGCGAATCTTGCCAAAAGATGCATAAAAAGGAGTGGAAGCAGAAGGCCAAGTATGAAAGAAGTAGCAGATCCATTGAGAAGGATACAAGAGCAGCCATTACTTAAACATAATAGCCTGGGCAGCTACTGCTTAGTTAGTGAAGGTCCTACTCTTACAGAAGTGATGCAGTGGAAAAAGAAAGTTAATACTATGTAATGTTTTTATAATGGATAATGATTCTTAGACCTAACAGTCTAAGCGATGAGCCTAGCCGAGAGAGTCTTGTTGCATTGGATGAGCTCAAAACTTTGATTTTACCCCAATGCATCAAACCCTCAACTAGATTCTTCGGACATATTATTAGGTCTGAATAACATTGTTCTTTTTATAACTATTAGGACTTAGATTTAATGAGATATTTCTCTCTTCCCCAGAAACTAATGGTTCAAATATGTTTCTTGGATCAACTTTAGATTTTCTGTTTTTGTGTCTACAAAAATTGGGCTTATTACCTCTGTTCTATGTACAATTCTGATGGCTTTTATGGCTTGATTACAAGACCATTTAGATTTCTAGCCTCTGCATTTGTTGTCCCTTGCCAGTGACATCTGTTATTTTTGAACCACCGGAGATTAGGGTAATCAGTTTCTATTTTAACTCAAAATTCCATCAATAGATTGCTAAACAATTAAGTCATTTATAAAAAGGAGTAGTTTACGTGCCACTTGATTATTACATTTCTACTATTTAATCAAAATGCATTGTGTGTCTTATCTATGTGCAAAAAGCTTTTGCAAGCATACGTTGTGGAGACTCCAGAGTCCAGACTCATATGAAGTATGAACCCACAATGAAAATAACACAATACTAATGCACAAAATACACATTTGTTATGTTTGGAGCACTCAATTGGTGTCTTAAATTTGAAATTAAAGAAGATTTAGAGCAAAATTTATACTAAAATCTCTATACTCCCAAATCCAAAGAGCCCGTGCCGCCAATGATAGCAATTTTTATTCTTACGCTTCCAATTTTTATATTTTCATTTCGTATATATAACTTCAAACTACCGCCCCACTCCAATTTATTTTATTTTATTTTTTATATTTCTATATAATATAGAATTTTAAAATTCTAAATTTGTCTCACATCTAATCCTTTGTCCCCAATTTAATCTCTCTCACGATTCTTATCTATCTGATCACTTTTAGTCCTCTATTTTTTTATAATACACAACTCGCTTTCAACAATTCTCTCTTTAATCAAAATTTCTAGGAAGATACGAAAAAGTCCCTAAATAGTATCATCGTCTACTTTTCCTATATTGTAAATGACACATGAAAATTATGAATATACTCCCCTTAGAAAAGAGTGAAGACCCAGCGTGATACTCTTTCTATTTGACTCAATCTAATTCTCACTTAGTTTTTGATTTAAAAAGAAAATAGTTCAAATAATTTGAATTATTGAAAAATTCTCAAAAGTATATATTGTAAGAGGGAATGAGGAAAAAACTAGAGCACACATTTTTGAATTTGTTTTTGTATATTTGTGTTACATTTTTTTTTTTCTTTTCAAGGGGAGAAACACACATTCACTCACACATACCTTTTGCCCACAGGTTTGAATTCTTCGCCGTCTCTTTGAAGATAGAGAGGCTAGGACATTTGGATATGGATACGTAATAAGAATACGACATGATACGGCTACGATGAATATCTATCAAAAAACAAGATACGGGGTACAATAATAAAAAAAATTAATAAAATTTATTTTTACATGTACAAAAAATTAATTTTTGAGCATTTTTTTAAAATATTATAAACCTAAATGCAATATAATGTAGAAGTTTGTTTCACAACACATAAAACTAGCATCTCAAATCATCACTTGATAAATTTTGAAATTTTCTTAACAATTATATTGTGCTATTAATGTTGGAAAAGTTACATTTTAATGTTTAAACTTGTTTAAAATGTGTTATGAAATATCTAAGAAGTGTCGGATATGCAATTAAAAAACAAAGTATCAGATACGTGTTAGAAATTAAAAATTATATTTTAAAATTATGGATTCGTTTAAAAAGTATCGAACACGTATCTGTGAAATATCGATATCTGACACGTATCCGATACAGATACGTCCCTCTTCTAGAAGTATCCGTACTTCCTAGTAGGGAGGTTATACCATTAGACTAGATGCTCATTTGGTGTATAATTATGTTACTAAAATATACATACTATGTATACTTTTCTCTTTAATTTGTATGACATTCTTATTTAATTTTAAAATTCATTGAGGATTCTCGCGGTTGCTGTGTAACGGATTCAGACGAATATCGGTGTAAACTGGTTAAATCGGCCAGTTCATGTAGATGTGTAACGATATGAAAACCTTAAAAAATGGCTATGACATATCGACCAATACAGCGAAACATGCCTCTAATACATGTCAGCCAGTCAAATGAGTACCACATTAGTTGATGAAGAAGGAAATCTAGGACTTATACGGGGCAAGAGTCGTTTTACCTAATAGGTTAATTTTTTGGATTAAATACCCCCAACTCAACAACTAATATTAGAGCCTAGTCGTAACGAATCTCATGTAAATAACTCAAGATCCCTTCGCCGACCGAATGGTCGATGACGTTCTATCCGGCCATTGGCTCGTTTGAGGGGAATTATTAGATACCCTAAATTATATGATAATCGTAAGATGTTCTCTCACTCAATGTCTTGAAAAATATTTGTTTAGATTTTGACATTATATTATTTTATATAAAAAAAAAATACAAAAATATAAATTTAAAGCTAATCCAAAAAAGGTGGACTTTAATAAAGAATCAATCAACCTTTCCTCCTTTGATAGAGAAGCATGTCCCACCGAGGTTAATCTTAATCTTGACAAGAGAAAAGGCATTTGGATTATTAATAAATAATCAAGTCCAAATATATATATGGGATTGGAATTGTAGAAACAGTAGTATCCTTTTCTATTCTAGTTTAGAGATTTAATTAGAAGATATTGTTGGTAGCAATGGTGTTCTTTGTGGCGTCTAGATCCTCTACTGTAACAACTTCTGTTTTTCAACAAATTTGTTTCTATTTTTAAACACTTTAATTTTGGTTTTCAAACAAACTATTAAGGCAAAAGTCCAAAAAAAAAAAAAACCTCAAGTTTCATTAAGTGAGCATAATACTCATGTTAACACAGCAAATGAGCAAAGTCGAACCAAGCGGAATAATGAGCTGTTTGAGCTCGACTCAACTCTAACAGGAGGGTATATTCGAGCTCGGCTCTAGATCGAGCCGATCTCGAGCCGAGCTCATAGTTTAGTGTTCGACCTCAGCTCAAAGAAGTTCACGAGCTATCGAGCTGAGCTCAAGGCTCGTTTCACATCATTGTATCACACTTCATATTATCATATAGTACAAATATATATACACATTCACAGAGAAATACAACAAGATCAAAGAGAGATGCAAATTACACAATAATCATACATACATCGGAGTAGAAGTTAGAGAGAAATACAAATTACAAGTTCAGAAATACAAATTACAAAAGAATCATATATATATATATATATATATATATATGTATTAAATAGATCGATGTATTCAAGAAAAGAAGAATTATTACATAATTTTTTAAAAGAAAAAAAAAAGAAAAAAAAATTAGCTTTCTGCAATACATATGTATGAGAGACAAAGGCTTGTAGAAGGTAAGATTAGCTTTGGATAACATGCATGAAGAGACACAGACGCTGTAGATGAAGACAGAGAAAGAGAGACTCCTTTTAAACACTTGCAGTGACCTCTTCAAAGGGACTTTGGCGAGCAAGTGGGCTCTTTTAACCCACAGCGGGCTCGCTTAAGTAGACTGGGCCCACAGGCGTTCGCCGACCCAGGCGAGCTGACCAGCAATTGTTAATATTTTTAAAAAAAACTTAGTCTCAAAACGACGTTTTGAGGTTGGGAAAAAAAAAAAAAAATTTAAAGAGAGAAAAGAGGCTGGAGCACACAGTAATTGGCAACGGCCAATTTTTCAAAACTGAAGGGGGTTTTAAGGGCCTGTTTGCCTGGTCCTTAAAACCCCCACAAAACTAGTTTTTCACATTTTTTGGTTTCTCTTTTTTTTTTCTTTTTTTTTTTAAAAAAAAATAGTAAATAAATAATATAGTCCTCAAGCACTGCTTGGGTGACCCAAATAGTGCCTAAAAAAAATTCACTTTTTTTCTTCTCATTTAAATATGCTAATGAAACTGTTAAGGCACTATTTGGCTGGCACAACAGTGCCTTAACAACTATATTTTTTTAAAAAAGGTTAAAATAATAATAATAATAATAATAATAAAGACATTTCAACTCTATAAATATCCCCACTCATTTCTAATCTGAATTTGTAATTTCATAAAATAAATATTTTATTACATAAAAGTTCATAACATCTTCAACGCATAAAAAATAAAAAAAATAATTTAAAAAAAAAAAAAAAAAACATAATTTAAACGTCTCCATCATCAAAGTGGTTCCAAAAATGTTCAATCAAATCTTTCCAAAACGGACTTGATAGTAGTCTTTCATTAGCTAGTGATGACTTCCCTATCGGTCACGATGAATATACCGCTTCTTACGGACTTGAAAGACTTCCTCTCTGGCCTCACACAATGCAAAAGTTGCTAAGCATAATCGCGATTTAGAAGATGGAGAAGTTGAGTATGGCAAAGGAAAAATTTGTGATGACGAAGCCATTAAAATTTCGAGATTAAAGGAGATGGATAATGATATTTTGCTACAATGAAAGAGATGAATGTAGTGATGATTCGAAAATAATGAGCAAATGAGTTATTAGATAAGCTAAAAATATAGCCGTTATAAATATAGTTAGTGGTAAAAAAAATATTATTTTTAGAGAACAAAAATTGGGAGAGATTGTTACTGCTTCAAAATTTGGAGAGCAGAAGTTGCCTACATGGCTCTAGAAAAACTTATGTGGCTAATTCAGAGAGCAAAATTTTAGAGAGGGTACTGCAAATGGCCTTAGATGAAGGTGTTGTGTACGGGGTAGTGAAAAAAAATAGATGATGAGGTTAGACTAGTGTTACTGGATTAGGGTCTTATATACATATATATATATATATATATATATATATATATATGGGCTTGGGGGTTTTATCTGTTTATGGGCTTTTAATTGGGCTGAGAGTTTAGTTGAATTCTATTTACTCTAAATGGGGTCTTGTATATATAAACTAAATGAGTTGGGTATAAATTAAAATATAGATTCAAAATCATAATATGTATATGTATAATTTTATATTAGCAAATATGTTCATGAGCTTTCTTCGCGAACATGTTCACACAGGAATTGAGTCGAGTAAGGGTTGTTTGAGCTTATTTATTTATTAATCGAGTCTAAGATAATTAAAAATCAATCATAAATTTAATTATGAGTTAAAATAGAGACCTATCGTGAATAATGAGTGTGTATTTGCTTTAATTTAAAAAAACAAAAATCGAAACTGTCTTTAAGGTGACACAACTGTCCGAATATAAAAGTGTTGTGATATGCTGACAGAAGT